GTTAGCTCTTGTCACTATTCCTTCCTAGTAAACGGGGTGGTGAGGGATTTTTTTCCAGCTAGTAGGGGAATCAGACAAGGGGACCTACTTTCACCCTTCCTCTTTACCTTGGTAGCTGATGTGTTTAGTCGAATTATCACTAGGGCTGATAGGGAAAATGTGATAAGGGGTTGGAGAGTAGGCACAAACCAAATTCCAGTCACTCACCTTCAGTTTGCAAATGACTTGATGATCTTCTGTGAGGGAGGTTTTGGTGAGAAGGTGGAAAATTTGAAAGAATTGATTACAGTTTTTGAAGGAGTCTCTTATTTGAAAATCAATCTAGGAAAAAGCTACATAGCCGGAGTAAATTTAGTTTTTGAGGAGGTTGAGGCGATTGCAGGCTGTCTTGAGTGCTCCATTTCCTCCTAGTCTTTGTCTTACTTAGGGCTTCCGTTGGGAGCAAACCCTAGGGAGAGTAGGTTCTGGACCTCCATCTTGGAGAAGTTAGAAAAGAGACTAGCTGTTTGGAAGAAAAATTATATCTCTTTGGGTGGGAGGATCACTTTGATAAAAGCCACCCTCATGAATCTACCTACCTATTATCTCTCTGCCTTTAGGTTACCGTCTAGGGAAGCGAAGAAGTTGGAAAAATTGATAGAGATTTTCTGTGGGAACCGGGAGAAGGTAAAAAAGACCATTTAATTAAGTGGGGGGTTGTGGGTAGAAGCAAAGAGGAGGGAGGATTAGGGCTCGGGAATGTGCTTGAAAAGAACTCAGCTTTGTTAGGGAAGTGGTTGCGGAGATGGCCCTTGGAGCGGGATAGACTCTGGCACGAAGTAGTGAAGAGTATTCATGGATGTTTAGAGAGTGGTTGGGATGCTGGTGCATCAAGGAGGGCTAACCTAGCCGCACCTTGGAAAGCAATTCACAAAGTTCTTCCGCAGTTCCTTAGCTGTGCCAGGTATGATGCTTGTTCAGGTAATTCTATTCGGTTTTGGGAGGACATTTGGGTTGGAGATCTCCCTTTGGAAGACCTTTTTCCTTCATTGTACTCTGTTTCCTTGTATAAAAATGATGTGATCTCAAAATTCCTTCCGTTGAATTTATCCTTACCAACTTTGTCTTGGGATTTTGGTTTCCGTAGAGGATTAAGGGATGAGGAAATTGAGTGTTTATCTACTCTTCTATGTCTCCTTGATTAGGTTTGGTTGGATCCCTTGAAACCTGATAAAAGGATTTGGGCCATTCACCCTAAAGGGTCTTTTTCTTGTGGTTCCTTTTTCAAGTTCCTCTGCCAATCTCCCTCTCATAAGAGTTTCCCTTTCAAAGAAGTCTGGTGTAGGCCGATCACCCCCATGGTTATGGCTTTGTGTTGGGAAGTGTGTCATGGTAAATGTAAACACAATGGACAACCTACAAAAGAGAAGACCCGTCCTTTGTATTTCACCAAACTGGTGCATTCTTTGCAGATCTCACGGTGAGGATTGTAATCATCTATTTTTATCTTGTAGTGTCACTGCAGAGCTCTGGGCTTGGCTTCTATCTTTGTTTGGGTCTAGTTGGGATATGCCARCAGAAGTAAGCACAATCTTTAACCCTTCTTTCTTCTCTTGGCCCCATAAAAGAGGAAGGAAAATGTGGAAATGCTCACGAGCAGCATTGTTATGGACAGT